CGTCCAAATGCTTCTGTTTCAAACTCCCTATACAGAGACAAATGATCACACCAGGGCGAGTTCTGACAGAGAGGCAGCAGGAGGCCGACAGCTGCTGCGGCCTCTGTGTGTACAGTGTGTGGTGAAGGTTTAATACAGACCATACAACTGCTACTGTCTGTGCAGAACTCCTCACACCCTCTACAACAGCCCCCTCCAGGAAGACTGCAGACCCCCACCACCCGCACACACGGGCTACTACCCACGAGCTGTGAACATGCTACTGGCACAGAGCCACATATAAAAAAAGCCTAGATGGAGAAACTTATATTTTTTTCTCTTTTTTCTAATATTCATAAAATATATGTTTAATTCAATCTTAAATCCTATACAGATTCCATTTGACATTCCATATCCATGGCAACACAGATTTTCATAAAAGGTTCTATTCTCTATAAATTGGAATTCCATATCTATGGCGACCGCTGATGACATGCACAGGTTCTAGAACTTTCAAAAGATTGTGTAGAAGGAGATGGCGCCCTTTTTTCCCAGAAGTCATTTGACTACTACAGCCCATTGCAGTTTTTGAAATAAAGCAGCAATACAAGCAGTTGATCAGAATGTACAAACACTGGCATGAATACTCTCCGGAGGAGGACACAGTACTATACACTGAGGACTTCAACCTCATGGAAGTGCTGGGTGAAACGCCTGAAGGAGTCCGTCCCTCTGAACCAGCTGAAGAGGTGAATGGACTATGTGAACCAGCGGTGAAACTGGTCCCAGGCTTTACAAAAACTGAACAGCTGGAGCGAGGGAGCTGTCAGAAGTTGGACACAACTCAAAAGTCGCTGCGTGAAATTGACCGACCACAAGTGGTTGATAAACGCCGACTGAGGAGAAAGTCTGAGAACGTGAGGAAGTGTCCTGAAGACGACTCCATTCTTGCCCTGAAAGTTGTGCATCAAATGAGCGTCCAACAGTTAAAGAAAGAGCTGGAGGACGTGAAGTTTGATTTGCTCAACAAAACAAAGAAGATCATCGGTGCCCACAAGATACAACTCGACCGGCAAACCAAGGCAAAGCAGGACGTGGAGGATGAACTGAGACGAGTGAGAGAAGAGAACACCTCTCTGCTCAATGAGTCTATGGAACTCAAGGCACAGATCCAGTCAAGGAATCAGGAAATAGTGAGTCTGACAAGCCAGGTTACTGGACTCACAGACTTGACAGAGAAACTGGGAGAAAATTCTCTGCAGCAAACCCAAGAATGGCGCTTGGAAAGGAAATTCCTTTGCCTTCAAACAGAGGAAGCAAAGTCACATCTCATGAAGACTGAGGCAGAAAACACAAAGCTGATTCAGAAGAATGCTCAATTTGAAGTTTATTTGGGAAACCTCAAACAAGAACTGGCAGCGCTTTCGAAGAGATGTGGCGAACTGGATGGGCAACTGCAAAAAGAGTCTCAGGACAAGACTCTGATGCTGCAGGAAATCCAGAATAAAAACATGGAGCTGGACGTGATGAGAGACATGATCCTCAAGTCCAGGGACCGGGAGATTGCGCTGAACCTGCAGGTACAAGAGGTTCAGAAGCGACTCCGAACAAAAGAAGACGCCAACAGTTTCCTGAACGAGTCACTGAAGGACTTGAAGCAGGAGCTGCGGCAGGAGAAGGAAGAGAAGGACGCCATTTTGAGACAATGTGAAGATCTCAAAAAGGGTCAGAGCACAGTACAGCAAGAGTGTTCTCTGCTGGAGGTAAAAGTTAGTGCTTTGTCCCAAAAGCTGCTGAAAACAGAAGAGGACCGCTCTCTGTTGGAGGTTAAGGCCAATAAATTAACCCAAAAGTTGCTGAAAACAGAAGAGGGCCGCTCTCTGTTGGAGGTTAAGGCCAATACATTAACCCAAAAGTTGCTGAAAACAGAAGAGGACCGCTCTCTGTTGGAGGTTAAGGCCAGTACATTAACCCAAAAGTTACTGAAAACAGAAGAGGACCGCTCTCTGTTGGAGAAAAAGTCTAGTGCTTTGACCCAGAAACTCACGGAGACACAAGAAGAGCGCTCCCTGCTGGAGGACAAGTGGTTGGCCGTGGAGCTCCAGTTGGAGAAGAAGCGTCGGAGGTGGTACAGGAAACTCGCGTGCTGCTAATTCCCCTGAACCAACATTGAGGAAAAGTACATATAACTAAGCATAAATAAAAAAATATTTGCAAACAGTTGTTCTTAAGTTTTTTTGTTTTTTGACAAACCTGTCCACTTAAAATATTTTCTATTGTATTTTCCCATTTACTTATCTCAGAAAACTAGAACCTTTTAGCTGAGTTTATCTACCGACACACACACACACATTTGTATGTCTCACATGTGGTTGGAATCAGATTAGCACATACTCTTTTCCTTAAATTAAAGCAAAATATCTTTCCAAGCATTATAGGCTCAGTAAAAATGCTACTTAAAGAAGACAGAGCATGCTTCTGGCTGCTGTATGTAAATGTAGACAACCGTCAGTGTTTTTGTCAAATGGCTATTTCACTACACAACACACTGTCTCCTCAGTACACAACACTGTCTCCTCATTACAGAACACTGTCTCCTCACTACACAACACTCTGTCACCTCACTACACAAAACTACACAACACTCCATTGAATGCTGTCGAACCAAGGAGGCACACGATGCTCTGAACCAATGAGAAGTAGGGAAACTCTGCAATGTAAAAAGTTTGTACAAGTATATTTGTATAGCACAGTCCATACACAAGGCAACTCAAAGTCCTGAAAAAAATAAAAAATAAAATAAACAAACAGACAAGGCATTAACTTCATAAATACTAATAGTGCATTAAAAAGAGGGAAGATAAAATCCTTCAGTTGTTGCAGCAAAACAGAACTGTTTTTAACCTGGATTTGGTCACATTTTTGGGAAGACTGTTCCAGATTTTAGCAGCGTTAAGTCCTGACTCTGGCCCCAGCAGGAGGCCAGTCCCTGTGTTCCTCAGAGTCTCAGAAGGAGGTCAGTCCCTGTGCTCCTCAGAGTCAGAGCAGGAGGCCAGTCCCTGTGCTCCTCAGAGTAAGAGAAAAAACGCAAACTGGTAGCAGGCTATGGTTACTAGCTCTTGCGCTTCTCCTCTTGAATTTAAATGAATTATACATTTTATTCAAGTCAAAGTTATGAAGACAATGCAGAGAGTGATGAAAAATATTTAAAAAATGCTCAATTTTACAAAATAGAAGTCTTAAAACAAAATTTGCCAAAGAAACAAGCAAAAGGATATGAAGCTTATGCGGATGTTCAGACTGAAAGACGAGTGCCTGCAATCTCACAGTGCTGCCAGCCTCGAGCCTCAGCCAATCAAACAGATCTGCCAGCCTCGAGCCTCAGCCAATCAAACAGCTCTGCCAGCCTCGAGCCTCAGCCAATCACACAGCCCGGCCAGCCTCCTGCCAACCTTCTCACAGCAAAGCGGCCAGTTTAAAAGGCAGCCACTTCCAGAAAAGCAATGCTTCCTGAGGCTCTTAAACACCCACCACCTCCCCAGCACCTCCTCTGGCTCCTGCTCTGGCTCTCGCTCTAGGCTCCTGCTCTGGCTCCTGCTCCGCCTACGAGCCATTCACATCATACTCTAGCCACCACCAGTGATTGACCCCCGGGGATCTGAGATCATCTTCGGCTGCAATTGAACTCCTCGCTGCAAGTGTCACTGCCGGGGTCAATGCGCCAAACAAATAAATAATTTTTATGTATTGATTGTGTCTTTGGTTTCTTCAGATTGAACTTGTTTTAAAAGGATACAAGAAACATCCCATTAGCAAATCTTGTTTAAAGACAAATTAAGATTGAAAGAATACTCGATTGAAGCAATTCTTACCTCATATTTGATCACATTTATTTCTTCTGCAGTTTAACATCAAACCAGTTCCACCCATCCTTACAGTATTGTCAGTCCGTGTGAGGTAAAGTCTATCATTTTTACTCCTCACACCCTCTACAACAGCCCCCTCCAGGAAGACTGCAGACCCCCACCACCCGCACACACTGGCTACTACCCACGAGCTGTGAACATGCTACTGGCACAGAGCCACAGATAAAAAAGGCCTAGAGGGAGAAACTTATATTTTTTCATTTTTTTTAGTCTTATGTTTTTTCCTGTTAGCTGAGAGAATGCATTGGTATTCATGTACTTACTTTTGTCTTATCATATGGTTGCTAGGTAATATTCCTGCAGTGATGTCATCCACTACAATCAAAAAGTAACAATATATATATGAATAAATAAGACAAAATGGGAAACAAATTGCAATATGTATGGTAATGATGTAAACTGTGTGTTTGTAAAGTAGAGTTGTATCTAAGTGGTTCCCAAAGTGGGGGTCACGAGGAGTTTTTCAAAATATGTTTTACAATTCCTTCTTAAGGCCCTGTCCACACGAAGTCAAGCTCAGGCCTAAATGCAAAAATACTTTATCAATCCAGTGTATCGTCCATACGAGGCCGGCGTTTTGGGGGGGTGTAAACGAACATTTTGGAAAGTAGGTCCCAGAGTGGAAAGATTTCAAAACTCCGTATATGCCGCTCCGTGGTTACTGCCTCTCCGCAATGTATCTGAGACGCTTGCGTCATCGCCCCGCCTCTTGTTAAAGCACGCATGCGCCGCACTCAGAAAATAATGACAACAACAATGGCGCCGTACAGTGTTGCTTGTGTCCTGTTGAAGCAAGTGAGCCTACTAACGCTATTACAGCAAAATATCCTTCTTCTCCATCATCTTCGGTTACAGCAATCTATTCTTGACAACATAGTACGCAACTTTATTTTGGATTCCCCGCGGATAAGGACCCGAAGGGCATCCCGACGGAGGTTTTGGACGCGACCTGGCAGAACTAGTAGCTGGTGGGACAACTTCGTGAATGGTGTTGTCCTGGACGCTGAATGGAGGGAGAACTTTTGTATGTCCCGGGAATCTGTCGTGGCGCTTACCGAGGAGCTAAGTCCGCACATTGAAGGGCAAACGACAAATATGAGGGCACCCATTGATCCTCTAAAACGGGTCGCTCTGACGCTTTATTATTTGAGCGACGAAGGAAGGCTACGGAAGACTGCAAACGCCTTCGGTGTGTCGCGCCAGGCCGTGTCTGTCATCGTTAGGCAGATCTGCAGGACTATCTCCATCCACCTCGGTCCCAGGTACGTCCGACTGCCTTTCACGGAGCAAGACGCTACGGAGCTGGTTGTGGGGTTTCAACAGACTCATGGCATGCCCCAATGTTTAGGAGCAGTTGACGGCACCCATATTGAAATCAAACAACCGTCTGTCAACTCCACGGACTATATAAACAGAAAAGGCAAGTACACCCTGAATGTACAGGCAGTGTGCGATTACAAGTACAGATTAATGGATGTTGTCATCAAGTGGCCTGGAAGTGTGCACGACGCACGGATCTTTGCCAATTCAGAGCTGAATCTGTCACTGAAAAATGGCAAGATCCCGCCTCTTAAAAGGCGGATTGTGGACGATGAGGAGCCTATATCCATTTTCCTTCTCGGTGATCCTGCGTACCCACTGCTGCCTCATCTGATGAAGGAGTTCTCCAACGGTGGGTCGACGCCGCAAGAACAGTACTTTGGCCTGAGTTTATGTAGGGCACGGATGGTCATTGAGTGTGCATTTGGTCGTCTGAAAGCCAGATTTGCAGCACTAAGAAGGCCGATGGACATACATTTGAATGACCTGCCCTACAGTAGGTCCCATTCCGTTTTGTCGTCTTCATTCACGCTTCTCGGGAATCACGCAGCTGCGTGAAAAATAGTACATCTTATCGCCACAAGGTGGCAGGCTAAGTCCGCTTTAGCTCTGCCAGCGACTTAGACGCTCAGGTATAAGACTGCGTGCAAACCTATCTAGCCCACAGGTGCTATGTTGGCCAAATGGATAACATTAGAGACTGGGACCTGGAGAACCCAGGTTCGATTCTTGTCTGAGGCACATCTTTTGGTTGCTTGTGGCAAAATTGTTTTTTCATTAAACAATTATTATATAACATCTTGTCTTTAATGTCTGAAAAAATCGAGGTGAAAGGTTGAGGTTTCTATCGAGGTTTCTATTGAATGCTATTTCTTTCTTTATAATCTTTATCTTTATAATACGAATTGCATTAACGTATATATTTAAAATAATTATGTATTGTCTATAGAATTCTATGCGAATTCGAAAATAAAGACATTCTGAAAGCGATCTGCCTCTCGTGATTTTTTAGTGAGGTCTTCTTCTGGTATTTACTGTTTGGCTGAGCAAAGTTTTAATAGTATTGGTTGAAATAAATGCCATTTTCAAACACGGCGTGATGTAAATAAGAGAGAGAGCGAGAGAGAGACGCTGACGCATTTTGGCTCAGTGCGCTGGTGTGCAATCAATGGAATACATCACAATACTCATCAAACAAGATCCATTCAGTTTTATCATTGGAGGAAATGTTTATTAAATTAGCAATTGGCACCTTGACAAAACACTGGATATAGAAATCCTAACAATAGTAGGCTAATATAGGCTAACGTGGACATCCCTTGGCCCGTGGGGATATCACATGCCAGTTGCCTCTCCCTTCAAGGCTATGACCTGGCCGAGATATTTGATTATATTTGATATTATTGGTAAAATAACATGTGGCGCAGAACTAAAAAAAGGTCTTGTTATGACTCTCAAATCATTAATGACAAAACAAAGACTAAAACGAGGATTTATATAGGGATGGCTTTGAACAATTGAGTCAGTATCTCTGATCGTGTGAACCCCTGGTCTAGTGGTCTAAACTGTGCGCTTACGACGCAGGAACCTGGGTTCGATCCCGCGCTATGTATTTTTGTATTTATTGCATGTTATCACATTCTATGACAGATTGCTCTAAAAACGGTAAAAGATGAAGGTCAAGACGTTTTTTTTGCAGATTATAGCTTAAATGTAAAAATAATTATTTAAGACCACATGTACCCCAATTAAAATAATGTTAGTCTCTTTTTGATGTGGAACTTTTACATGTTTGTCTAAAAAATAGGGAATAAATAAAATTGAAAGGTGATATCCTCTTGAGCAAACCCTGATGTTGATACGCTGAAGAAATACGTTCCAAAATCCATTCTTCCCACTCCTATTTTGGACATCAATTGCTTATTTATTTTGCATAAACTATGTATAATTACATTGCTTTTATTTTGTTTTTGTTTTTTATCTCAAATGTCCAAATAATAATAATAAAAAAACATTAATCAAAACATTCATTCAGCATTAGCACGGCTGTCATGGCAATGTGAATGGAGACGGACAAACAACTGATAAAATAATTCCCTGTGTTTGCTGCTGGATTTGGTGTGAATCTGGCAACCAGTCAGGGAGAAGAGTGGGAGAGGACTACAAAATATTGACTATGACTGCAGTACCACTTTTGGCCAGATTTTTACATATTGTTCCTTTAAGTCATCTTTTTTTTGAGAAAAGTGAAAAGTGTGATTTTTGTCTCTTTTCGGCCCTGTATATTACTGTGAAACTTCTGGGATTCGGCTGTTGACGGTAGTTTGTTGTCCCCTCCTCCCTCCTCCACAGGAGGCTTTAACATGTAAATGACAATGCTGTGAGCTATACAAATGCTAATCAACAAGTTCTAGTGTTAAGATGTGCGAGGCGAGCCTGGCCTGACTGCGCTCTCCTCCTCCTAAAAAAAGATTAGAACGCAACAGTTTAGTTAATAATGTGTGTATAAAAATAAAAAATATTGAAATTATGACTTTAAACAAAAAGTAGTCTTCTGTTCTCTAGATGTTACAGACAAGGCCCGCATCCTCCACCACCTGAAGAAGATGACAAAGTCTGGGATCGCGTCTTAAATTCAGACAGAAGACATGTTTTATTGTCGATGGTAGAGACAGCACGAACAACAAAATGCAAGTGTATTATACAGAGCGGAGGCATGGAGACCTCCAATCAGCAGCTTCCACGGTGCCATGTAGCTTGGCCTTCAGATAGACAAAACAAGGGAAAAGTACAGGCTTCTGCACATTGATAGAATGATGAGTTTAACTTTAACAAAAGTTGTTTAAAAGTGTTATGAAATCTCACATTCCCCCCTCTGGTCACACATTCACCTGTGACCATCAGGATCGATAAACAGCAACATAACATCATAACTCAATACTTTAAAAACTCAAACTCGGTACTTCACTCGGTACTTCAAAAAACTCAGAACTCGGAATACTTCAAAAACTCAGAAAAGGTTGTAGGATAAGCAAGATTGAGGGAATATATTAGACCCATTAGCAGTGCACATGCCTTTGCAGTATTTCCACATCCAGTCACAATCTCCCTTGCTGTCGAGAACAATAGAGACATCCACAGGTTCTTCATCAGAGGAAGAACAAACGACCAGGATCTTCATTTTGTGCCGGTGTTCTGCCGAGTTGTAACGCTCTGCCAAAAAGTGACGCTTATGTAATGCTCAGCTGTTAATGATGTAATGCAAACCTGCGCGCATGCGCGTCTCACGGCAGCCGAAACAAACCAAGATGGCGGACAGAAAGTCCGTGAATTCCTTTAAAAGTTATAATACGAACGAAATAAGACACAAATGTCACTTTTAATGCAATTTGAGGCGAGATGTTGATGGTTCCGTGTTGGCACATGTGGGTTTTAAGAGTCAAACTTTCGGGTAAAGTTTAGTTTAAGCAGTCAACTGCACCAATGAAACCACTATGCTTATGTTATGATAGCAGTCCTGGCAGCTGACGTAGGCTGATGAAGCGTCCTGTGGCAACTCTACAGCTTACAACTGGATGAATGTTGATAATGGAAATAATAAATTTAATTTAATGCAGCGATCACCTGCAGCAGCACAGCTTGTGGACTGCACACTTTTCTGTCAGTTCAGTTAATAATTTTCATGGGATGAATTCGAAGTTGCAAAAAAAAAAATATGGCCATTTGGATATATAGTGCAACTTTTACTGTCAAGACTCTGCTGCAGCTGATCCATGACAACAACCACAGGATTATTATCACCAGTAACCACAGAGATTACATTCCATGGCCATGTTGTCCTTTGAAATGTAATTCATTCGTGGATTGATGAATTTTGACTAGTTTCCCAGATGAAAGATCGGGTGCATCCTTTCTATTAAAGAAATGAACAACACTGGTGAGTAACATTTAAATTGGAACCAATCAAAGGTTTTTTCATGGGTTTTATGTTAGGTTGTGCATAAAAAATGGGCTGTGGTATTGAATTGAATTTGTGTAGATTTTCCTGCTGAAGGTTGTAAAGTTCCCGCATTGATGTCAAGCTTTAAATACAAGAGAAAACACGTTTGTAGTTTTTTTGTGTGGATCAATCAAGTCTGTAGGCTGTAAACTAAGTGTATTTTTAGAAATGTAGAAATTGTATTGACTTTGATTGGTTAGGCCCAACCAGGGACAGGAGTTGTGAATTGGCATCTGCTATAAACTACATTCATCACATCAGCTGCAAGCTTTGTTTATGACTGTGTCTGCATTGTCCCTGTCAAATAAATATATTGATAATGTTGAAAGAGCGTGGAGACTTCATTTTCAGAAATCAATTCATTTGCAGGTGCAAATGGTCTCGTCGTCACACCATGAAACAGACAAAGGGACAAAACATTTCAGTACACTACGCAAACAGCAAATTACAATAATTAACATACGTGTCCAATTCCACAGGAGTCTCAGATTTGTGGAGTTGGTTAGCTGGTGCTCGGGACGACTGGGAGCCAGGTCATTCCTGCATGTGATGTGCTCAGGATACGCGAAGAGTTCACAGATCCTGAAGGCCAGTGCGTTGGCTTTCTGTCCTGGTCAGCCTCTGTAATAATATATTATTAAGTTATTGTACTGTAATGTTTGTACAGTATTATTTCTTTACCAAGTGTTGGCTTTGCTGTTTGCTTTCCTTTGTTGTACTTTGGGTTGGAACTTTGAATAAAGACTGCCCCTTTGAAGAATCTTGCCCACGTTTGACATTTTCATTCAAGTGCATTCCTGCCCAAAAAAGCCTGCAAAAAAAAGTTTCAATGTTAACAGGATTTGTATTCTTAATTATTACAAAGAATAACGCTTCAGCTGTGATGTCTGGTGCTCGGAGACGGGTTTCTGCACATCTTTAGGCAATCAGTTGTTCATTTAGCTCTTCTTTGTACAATGGGGCATACCCTGAGAAAACAATGAATTTGGTTACAAGAGAAATGTTTTGACTTGCGTGTGACAATCAGTGACACTATAGTCCGCTTCAAGACTTTTTCCATGTAAAAACTCCCTCCTACCTCATTGCTCTAAGGAAACACAAAAGTTTTAATTTATAATGAAAATACAATAAATTGTAATATTTACTACTAGACATACCTGTTCTGTTTGTATGTCAAGCGCCTTCTCACTCTCAAGTTCCATTGGTGTGTAGCTGTCACATTTGGCAGTGTCCTAAAAGCATTGGAAAAACGTTAGATGCAAAGTAACAAATATTACTGACATTACTATCCCTACCTGGTGAATCTGCTATTTTTCCCTTCTTCAAATCCTCCAAAAGCCTCTTGATTTTTCCTCCACTTGTTTTTGATTGGTGGGTCAAGAAAGTGCCATGATTGTCTCCTAAATAAAATAAGGTATAATTTGTCCCACAGTGGGAAAATGTGATTGTTACAGTATTTACTTACTACTTATTTACAGACGAGATGACATGTACAGGCTCAGCAGTTCTCACAGTACAGTCTGACAGCGGCAGGAAGGAAAGACCTGTGCAACCTCTTCTTCACACATAGAGGATGAATAGCTCTCACTGAAGCTGCTCTCCAGAGCAGAGTGTCCTGCAGGGGGTGACAGTCATGGTCCCCCACCTGCTGCACTGGGAACAGCCCATGACTGAGCTGAACTTACTGATGACCTTGTCCAGCTTCTTCCCCCTCTGTGTAACCCAACAATTGAACGAATGGAACTTACAGGATAATCTACAGGCACCTCTGAGGGGAACACAGCCTCCCGCCCATACATCAACTGGAATGGGGTGTGTTTGGTTGAGATGTGCACCTTTGACCTCAAAGAGAACAGTGTGGCATCAAGGAATGTGTCCCAGTTGTTCTGCTGCTCATTCACCAACTTCATCAAAGCTCTGAGAAAGACATTCCGAACATTGTTTAAATGGGGGAAATTAAAACATGTAGGGTTTGCCATCAGTCATATATTTAATGTGTGCTTCACATGATTAAATTATACATATCTTTCTTGCCTCTTGATGTTGTGGTTGGTCTTTTCGTCCAACCCATTAGTCTGTGGGTGGTACGCAGCGGTGACGCTTCTCTCAATGCCCAGCAGAGAGCACAGAGAATCATTGAGCTAAAACAATGAAAATTAAATGAATAAGAAAGTATGAACAAAAAAAAGTAACAACTACAAAAAGCAATATTCACCTCATTTACAAAATCCCGCCCTTGATCAGACAGGATCCGTTTCGGGCACCCATGCCTGTATATTATAGAGCAAAGTCTTTGCCCAACCTCCGCAGCCGTCTTGGTTTTCAATGGGAAAGCCTCTACCCACTTTGAAAAATAATCAGTGGCTGTAAATATGTACTGATAGCCATCAGTAGTTTTGGGGAAGGGCCCAGTTAGGTCAATCCCCAGCAGCTCCCAAACAGCAGACACCTAACATGCCAACAGGATTGTAATGCATAAATGTACATTGGTGGTTGAATAGTAACAATACAATTACCTTTATTGTTTGGAGTGGTGCAACTGTACCCAGAGTCTTTCCCTCACGTTGACATTGGTCACACTCAGCAATCTTAAAACGAACAGGCTTTAGGGAAGGGAATTGTACAGACAAATAATATCACATACCCAATTGTCAATCATCACAGTCATGCCACGCCAGTAAAACCTGGAACAAATGGCATGTCGGGTTTTTTTCATCCCAGTGTGGCCTCCCATGGGCGTAGCATGAAACTCTTGAAATAGTTTCTGCGCCTCATGTCTGGTTTTAATGGCTCTTCTTTTGCCATAGAACAGCTCACCATCTATAAAAAATAATTTATATGAAAACAACAGAAGAAGAATAAGACATGTATAACCATACTAGCAAATGCATTATTACCCTTTACTGTAAACTTAAGGGAGTACTTCCTCCAGTTGTCTCTTTGAAATTTATTCATTCCCTCAGGATAAATGTTCTCTGTGAGGAGGAGAAACATTTCATCCCATTTATGCTCCATTTTGATTATTAATCAAAAGTAGATGTAAATGAGGAAGTGAACAAAAAGTGCAAGGATGGGTCTGGGGAGAGAAAGAGAAAACGTTGTTACATGACTACCAAATAATAACATCAAAAACAGATCAAAACCCACACTAAAATATCTTACTTGAAAAATGATGGAAATCTCTGAATTTGTATAAGTATTGAATTCCTTTCACCATTAGATATCGAAAGATAAAGGCTCAAGGATGGGTCTGGGGAGAAAAAGGGAAGACGTTGTTAAATGACTACCAAGTAATAACGTCAAATACTGTTTGAAAAAAAACCCACACAAAATTATCATATTTAAATTATGGAAATCTCTGACTTTGTATTGGTATTAAATTACTTTCACCATTAGAAATCAAGAGATAAGACCATATGTAAAATTATTAATAATGAGGCTACATGCATGAGAACCCACACACATAAATGAAAAGTAATTTCTCTTTTCTACTAGTACATAATGTTACTATCTTTCCACGAGCAAATATGAGAAACTTAATACATTTCTGGAGGGATTATGACCACGTATTCATTCATGCATTACGCGTGTACGTAACATTTTCCCCAAAATCTAATTTCGAACCCAGGAGTTGGTACAAAGTTGAATAAGTAATTTCATATTGTATAGAATTTAGTAGCGTCCGTGAGGTCAGTGCTTGCACCATTAAGTGCTTGCACCATTAAGTGCTTGCACCATTAAGTCCAAATCAACGCGCTCGGTTGCTTCAAGGAAAACGCGGTCAAACTTATGGGTTCATTTATTAACTTGGCAATGATCAAAGATACATAGTTATTTCCAATACAATGAGTTAACAAGAGTTTGGCAATAAGTAAACAGTGGGATTTTTCTATATTTTCTTTTTTTTTTATTCACTCTCAACCCAAAGGCAAGTAATGACTCACAGGGCTCTCAAGTATGCAAAATAAAAAAGTAAATGACTGTTGTGGTGTGTTTGGCACAACCAGATGCATCGTTAACAGCTATGGAAAATTTAGGTATCCCGGCTTTCATTTCGGGAGCGTGGTTGCGCTTTGGGACAGAGTCCAGGGGAGGGGTCAGTCAGAGACCCCTGGGAGAAAGGGGAGAATAATGAGGAGTCCCGCCTTGCAACATGGTTCTGTCGGCATTTGGTCCGAGCTCGGTACCGTTAGAGCTGTGCTTTCACTGAGCGCGCGGCTGTCAGTCCAAAGCGCAGGTCTGCACAGGCCGTGCTCATTCGGGCATCGCTTGTATGTGCTAGTGAAATAAACAGCATGTAGCCCGCTGGTCACACATTTCACAGAAATTACATTTATCGCCGATAAAGGTTGTAAATGTGGATCGTGAATATTTTCATCCCTAGTTTTCCTGAATTCACAAAACAACACCCAACTTTTACCTTTTGGATGTTAAAGAGAACAACTTACGTTTTTTTTTCAGCCTTTCAACCCACCTGTTTCTTTATTGGAGCCTGTTCTGATCTGTCTCAGTGCGTGAGAGCTCCTCGGAACATTAAACAGTGCGTAAACTGAATAGAAATAACGTAAGTACTTTGGATATGGTAAAAGATCTACATTACTTTTCCTCTGATTTACTCACGGTACAACGTCAGGGAACGAAAAAAACACTTGTTCACGTGGCTAACTTTAAAAAATTAACAGTCGCTCCGTGCTTCAGTTTGGCGGTGAAGAAACAGCAATCACTGCAGAGAACGGAACGGGTCACGTGCTGCTGTGCTGTTTGCTCTGGTGGCGAGGAGGAGGCGCGAGTGTGCATCAAACGGAAGAAGATTTTCCCGCCCCGCCCTTCTCCGCATCGTCCGTTCTCGGAGCAAGCAACTTCGGTTTTGCGGTAAGTCCATGACAGGATCATACTTTCAGAATCGAGGTTGAAATATCTCAATTTCTTCTGCTTTTTCAGAAACTTCCTTCAGGCTATGTAGGGAGCCCTCCGGTACGGTCCTTTATTGGAATTTCTCCTAAACGGTTTGTGTCTTAGTAAACTCGGTGCGTTGTTCAAGCTAAAGGCTAAGTAGCATCCAAGTTTACTGCACGGTGTTTCTTTTTTGCTTTAGAAAAGATTATATTAAAACAATATGTAGTGTAGATCTGTTAAAAAGATAACTACATTGTGAATGTTATTTCTGAGACAGGTGTTTCAATTAACTAATTCGATTCTTCTTCTTTTTAGTTTGCAGCGTGAGAATTTAAGATAGGGAATTTATCAATATCACTTTTGAATCTTCTCAAATACAATTTGCTGATGTCCTGAGGAGTGTGGACAAATTTCATTGACCAAATGTTCTAAACTGGACACAAGGCTACACATTCTTTAAGAAGGATATATTTTCAACTCCCGGGTGTGTGTAATTTTAAGATTGGATAATATTTGAGAAAAGGTTCGGAACATTGTTTACTCATACAATTATATTTTAAGCAAAGAAATTCTATTCTAACAAGATTTTTTCATCAGTATCTAATTGTAGTTCAGGGTGAGGTTACCGTGAGTGGAAGATGTCCAAAGTGTCAA